GACACCAGAACTGTACACAACACTTCAAGTGGAGTCTCAGGAACAAGATTTCTCACTCTCATTACCACACTCATAATGTACCCCCTTTGTCAAGCCTCAAAAAAGGGAAATATTTTGCTAACAAGGCAAATGAGATGCAACTTGAAGCAGTGGTATCAATTCACAGACAAACCTGAACATATTCCACATTCTCAAAAATGTCCCCACGGTGATAACGAACAGGCTGGTCCCACTGGCAGTGCAAGCTATGCTGCTGGTTGCCCAGTCTACAGATCTGATGGTTGCCTGCAGAGCACAAAACATTTGTCTACTACATAAGTGAACTTTCTGAGACAAAACAGAAAACAGCCAACCCCTCCAGCCCTAATTTGGTTAATCCTATTTATTTAATCAGCAAAGAGGAAATTCCATATGCTTAGAAAGACTCAAGAACATACTCAAGAACATATTGCAATCCCTCATTTTAATAAGCAAAACACAACAGCCACTCAGGGCCATCTGTATATATAAAGAAGTTATGTCCTGACATTAATCTGAATATGTGCAATTTCTCATTGCTATAATGAGCATGAATGCCAAAAAGTTGTACCTAATTGAGCTTCTTTTGCCATCTGCGTCTCGTGAATGATGTTCCTCAAGATTTGTTCCTCCTGGATAAGCTTGTACTTGTCTAAAACATCTTGCTGCCTAAGGTAATGGTCATGCTGCTTCTGATACTCCTTCAATTCATTTAATGTTCGCTGAAGTGATCTTGAAAATTCAACAGCAGAAAAGATTCACTTTGAAGGCTTTTTAAAGCATCAGTATTTCCTACAGCGTTGCACATTTTCAATTGAGTTTCTTAAAGTAATCTTATGCATAATTTTATTGCACAAAGAAATAAAGAAAATTGAAAATCATTATTTGAAATGTAAATAATTGCTGCAACAGAACAACAAAAGTGAGACTGTATGAACTGCCACTAGGATGCTTCTTTAGTTACCTATGCTGGGCTTCCAGTTTTTGCTCAAGTTTTTGCTGACACAGGACAGCATGTTTCCTTTTTACAGCTTGCTCAAACCCTGGTTTGGCTTGTAGAGCATGATCGTAACACAGGACTGAGTGGTTGTACTCTCCAAGCATCTGAAGAATGAGAGAGAGAGAGAAAGAATCAGCCTTTGTCTTGTAATATTTCATTTAAAATATTCCATTTTTAAATAAGTCATTAACTCAGATTTTAATTTGTGGCACAAGCAGCCCATCATTTCTGAAACTCAAACCACTATATCTACTAAAGAAAGGCTGCAGGAGAATATCCCTGGGATTTATTTCAAGTGCAGATAAAAACCTTTGCTTTTATCTGCAGATAAAAAAGAAAGACAGACTTTTGGATGAAAATATCTTGACAGAATCTTAAACAGTAAGTATGAAATGCATGTGAAACACAACATTGTAAAAGAGTACAGCTTTATAAGTCAAGCCAGATAGGTTAAATAATATTTGGTTTTTGACAAATCTTGAAAAATAAAGATAGTACTTACTGCATATATATTTCCCAAAGTGTAATAGCTGGTAAAGAAGTCACTGTAATCCAGAGCTGCATGGACCACGATAGCTGCATCTGCAGAGAAGTGAGCCCGGTGAAGAATATTTGCCAAATTCACCAGTGCAATATCTTTATTTTGCCTACAAGAAGGAAATGAAAAGAAATAAAAATTAAAAGCAGACATTAAAAGAAAGTCCAACTGTCTGAGAATCATGCCTAAGGATACATTCATTCATTAGTCATATATTACACATGTAATTTGATAGAAAAATGTCTCAACTACATATATGCCTAGTATAGCACATAAAGACTAAGACAACGTAACATGGATTATTCCTAAGGGTATGGTCTTAGAAACTAAAACCCATTTACTAATTAGGATAAATAGAAAAGCAATCTGGAAAGAAATCTTTGTTAGTAATTCTTACCTCGAAGAAAAATGAAGGGCACGCATGGCACATTCTACTACTTGGTATGGCTCATTCTTTATTCGCCAGTAAAAAGAAGCCATATTATAGAGTACCCAGGAAGAAGAGTTCTGCAGTGAAGAAATACATGTTAGCTGTACTAAGACATGAACTAGAAGGTTAATCAGGGCTTTAATTACTATGGGATAGAAAGCTGAGCACCAAACCTGCTCTCAGTTATCCGTTTCCTTTGGAAAGCTGCCATTTGGCAATAGTTGTGAATGTTCAGGAAGAATGAGCTGGCATATAAATGTAGTAAAGAAACTTCTGCCTTTCAAACAGGTAAAAATTCGAGATAAGATTACATGAGAAGTGGCAGCAGTTCAATCAGAAGCAGCTTAGCTGGTGTTCAGTGAGAGTTACTCTATCTTGCAGGAAGGTATTTACTAAAACCATACGTATTTCAGTACTATTTCTTTGTTCTTCAAGTTTTTGTTTAAAAGCTTCTGCATTTTTATCTAAAAGCTTTACTTATTACCTTGACAGAGCAATGAATGTGGTTTGCCAGACCACACAAATACCTGAGTTATTAAATATGACAGACAGGACCTTTCTAGTACTCTTTTTGTACATGCAGTAAGATTACAGTTTCATACCTTCATTAGCCCGTCATAAATACGATGACCTATTTCCTCTATACTTCTTCCCAGCCTCCGTGATAAGTATGTGAAGATTGGATCTTCTTTAGGTAACAAGGGTGCGGAAAGATTAACTCTTTCTTGGACACCCTAAAATAAAAATTGAATATAGGTATTTGCTGACATTTTTACTAAAAGTAGAGAAATAGCCACAAGAGCATGACTCCAGGTAAATGTAGAGCTTGGTTGTGTCACATTCCTATCATTCTTTCATATCGAGATCTTAGGGACTTGACAGGATAATGTCACCTTCGATACATAAATAATAGATACAATAGATATTATTACAGATAGGAAAACACTAGAAGCAGCCAAAAGCAGCCTCTGCCTGTGAATGCTACAGAAGTATTTATTTCTGGTAGCACTGGGTATCTGGCAGCTATTGATTTCACTAATGACCACTGAAGCACTTAACTCATGTTTGTAAGATTACAGGCACTCTATGAAAGTATCCCTACATCTCTTGTCTGTCTTCCTTCTGCAACAACAAACATACTCCTTTCAAAAGCACATCCGGACCCAGGAACAGAGCTAAAAAACTTCAGTTCCTGTTTTTTCTGTAAGAAAATCCTTATTTATAGATAAAAAGACCTGTAATAAAATCAAGACCAAGATATAAGTACTACAGCTGCATCTGCATTAGAAAATTTGCTCATATGATACTGGTGACAAAACCAGGTTTTTAATGCACCACACTTCCACTGTAACCTTTCTCAAGCAAATGAACTTTGTACTAATAAAGAATAATTATCTTCTAGGTCAGGGCTTGGCAGTCAGGCACCAAAAAGACTGTCAAGTATGTTTAGAGCTACAATAGTCTGCAAATACTTTTCTGACTCTCAATCTTCATACAGTTTCATGACCCTGTTCAGCACTCTCCACTTTCAACTGAAACAATTCACAAGTTGGAAGTATTTCCAATGAAAGCTACCATTTTACTAACGAAATGTGTGTTATGAAAACAAAGCACTCCATTTTCTTAAAAACACCCTCTAAAATAAGGCAAAGAATAGCAAAAGAGAATCAGGATCTGCGTATCTGATGGAACTGTCCTCCTATAAGCAGGTGCCTAACTGGAGCACAAAAGAAGTCTGAAACTGTCTTGAAAGGTTATAGTATGTTTCAACCTTCACTGAGAACTGCCAGAAAGAGTTTTCTATTCCTCTTCCTGATAGGGGGAAAAAAAAACATACTTGCATTTGCTCACTTACCCGTAAGTGCTGAAAAGCATGAATACTGTATGGAAGATCTAGGACTTTTGTACAGTCTGGCTGCTGCAGGTCTGGAGGGACTGGTGACTTTGTGTCTATATAGTCTTCAGGGCTGAGGATATAACATAACACAGCAGACTCCAGATTAAAATGCTGCTAAAGTTCATACGAGACAGTACTGCAGTTGACAGACACAGTACTTTGATTTGACTGTTACAAAACCCCTGGTTTTGAGCATATCAGACCATTTCTGATGTCCTCCCACTTTCAGCTGTATCAGAATGTCACCACTGTAGGATAAAGTAAACAGATTTCTGTCTGCTTTAGAGAAAACATCAACATTTGGATAAACTCCAAAATGTATCAGTGTAAAACCTAGTGTATCACTACTGTGATTAATGATCTACCTTCCAGGCAAATGGCAATGCATGCAGAAGTCTCTTCAACTGAAACCAACAAACCCTGAGCATTAGTGAGAAGGCCAAATGAAGGTATCTTAGGATACAACTACTCTTTTCCCACTCCAAGTGCTCATCTGGTTATGTTAATAATAAAACTACAAAAGCAAAACAGTCAGCCCTGAAGATGAATTACCAATGAAGCTGAATGTCAAGCAGACTGTCCGCACATCCCTTACTTGCTAAACACAGGGGATGAAATATGACCAGAAGGTTCAACTGCTTGGTAATCAAAAGCATTTCATTCACATTTAAGTAAGCCAACTCCCCCTACAAGACGTGTATCTAGCTCAAAACACCCAAAGCACACTGGAAAATTCAACCTCCTTCTACAGTGATGCATGTCAGTTTAATTCACATCTGGTCATATCAGTTCAGAGTTAGAGTGGCAGAACTGACTGGGAGCCTGGGAATACAATGGAGAAGTTTTAGGGCATGGCTAACACGGACAGTTTGAGGGAGACAGCATTTCTGTGCTATACCCTTTCAGTATCAGTGGCAGAAGTTGTTTCAATTTTATTCCACACTAACACAAAATAAACCAACTGTCATCTAAAGGAGAGTCAGTTACAGCATTTTCCTTTTTACTTGCATTTAGAGGTTTTGATGATTTTTTTTGTTCAGTAAAAACCTTAAAAATATAAGCATCTTATTACCGGATATCTTTGCTCTCTAAGGTGATGTACGTGCCATCGTATAGATCTAGGTCCCCCAAGGGCACCTTGGCTTTAATGCAGTCCGGATCCTCTTTATTATGCCTTTGTTCCAGCCCTGTGTCTCTGTCCTCGTTTTCCTCTATATGAATCTTTTGAGCAACTAACTGTTTCTGTAAGAATAAAACAAAAAGAAGAATGTATACTCATGAAAATAAACTCTACAGATGCTAGGAGTTGAACAGTCCAACTTCTTCCTTAAAGTTCATTTGAAGAAAATCTAAAAAGCTCTCTTCAAATATTGGGAATATTTCCCTGTACTTTATAACATCCGAAGGACATTTATTGATTTAGATGGAATATAAATACTTTCATTAGAGATATCACGACTTGGAACAGGCCCTTATTTCTCCTGCTGTACCTAAAAAGAAGCCTAATAGCATTCCAAATTCATGGTAGACCGTTCAGAAGAAGAAGAAATAGTTGTTAACAGCACATCAACTTTTCCATATTTGGACCCTTCTTCACTGTAAGAAGATTGCAAACAAAACAAACTTCTTAACCACTCAGCATGCTAAGTACAACTGAGGTGGCAGGTTAATGCAAAAATTGAGACTAATTTCTAGAGGTCAGCTTATGATGTGCCTTAGGAGCTACCTGTTGCCCCATAAAGCTCATAGGTATTGATTAGCAAAAGCGGTGAATAGACTAATGATCTGTCACAGCACAGTATTTCAGCCTCACTAGATCTGTAAATTGCAAACTCATTAAATATCATCAGGATTTGTATACGTGAAATAAGAAAATTTGCGTTTTTAATGAAAGCCATAATTGCACAACACTATGCAACACCAGAGATATGTACAGTAGTAGCAGCTTGTAGATCTTAACGATAACTTCTGCTGAAAGTCATTTAATGCCACAAATTGTAGATTAGTAATTTCCAAACCCACAACCCATGTCCTGAAAAGCTTATAACTATTGTTCCATCCACAGTTAAGATGTCCATTACCACAAAAATGAGTATACCTTGATGACAAAGACTGGCTGAATACAATCACATAATAGGCAGTCCTACCTTTTTCCCCTCCCTTCCACTTCTCCCATTCACCTAAAGCTACCTCTGGTGCTCATTTAACTTCCCAGTTAGCTAGTTATGCTAATCTGACAAAACCAAAGCTGATGTAAGAGAAAGGAGTGCATGGCCAGAAGAAATGTTGTGACCTATCACTTGTCCAGTCCCTGCTATATTTAAGTTACCAGTTCGAAGTTCATTAAAGCCCTTTTCAGAAGGGTCTTCTCAGACCCAGTAAATGGGCTTGAAGAAAAACAGGTGACCTTCTCTGTATTCTTCTGGAATATAGTAGTCAGTAACAGAACCCAGTACCTAGATGACTTAAAAATGTTAGGATTTATGGATAACGAATGGTACAGGTACAGGAAATGGTACAACTGGGGACTTGTTGAACAAACTTGAGGTGCAAAATTCTTTAGATCTGAGGAATTCTTCAGCCTTTCACTGAAGCAGAATTATGCCAATAATAACTCCTGTTCCCCATCTAAAGCTATCACTACAAAGCCTGTGGAAAAAATCTGTATTTTCAGAAATCAGTTAGTACTTAATGTTAATGCTTTACCTCCAGTTCTTTGAGGTAGTTAACGGTTGTTTCTTGTCTCATTAGTATTACTAAATCATGTGGGTTCCTCAAGTTCATTGGTGAATCCACCTGCAAGACATTTCAACAGCTCATCATGTAAGTCATCCTCTAATAAAACTGATTTTAACAGGTAGGAAGTTATGGTCATTCAACTACAGTTTGTACGTTCAGAGGTTTTCTGTCCACTCAGCATCATAACATGTCCATAACTTAAATGGGTACTTCAAACAACATTGTTATTTGAGAATCCAATTCAAACCATGCTTTAATTTTAAACTTATTTTAGTTTATTCAAGCACATAACTTCTAAGCAAGTAAACTTCTCATAACAAACATTACTAAGAGTACCTACTGCTATAATTCTAGATACCACGTACCCCCAATGACCCGCAGCAGCACAGAAAATACCCTATCAATATTGATACCATATTGATGTTAATTGAAGTATTAAAGCCTCCAGCATTTAAGCACAGAAAATACCCTACCAATATTGATACCATATTGATGTTGTTAATTGAAGTATTAAAGCCTCCAGCATTTTACTCACATCATATTTCATATTTCCTTCTACGGGCCCCACCTCACTTTGAACTGGTCGCACACAGACCCAGAGTTATGTACTGAATGTAGCAGTTGTTATGCCTCATTTGCTAGAGAGGACTGCGGTATGTACAAGAGAATGAGAGATGAATTTGCAAAGAAAACAAGGGAAAGTTTTACTGTGTTTAAAGCCCTTATCACCCATTCCTAAATTGCACTGTTCCTCTGATGTGTAAAGGCTGCTTGCATGATATTACACAGTCACTGAGAGCAAAGTCAAGCTTCAGCTCTACTTTCAGTGACAAACTGCATCTGGGGAGCAATTTTTTGCTGAAAGTTATGCAGGCATCACCATTTAAAAAGCTTCATTCTGAAAGATGAAGAAACTTGGCTTATCATTCATTCAGAAACAGAATGATATTCAGGGACAGCTTCTGTTTTGAACTTCTGATGAAGTCTCATGAAAGTTAGGTCTGAATTTAGGGTTTGGGAATTTGGAGTGGGACGTAACCAATCCAGCATGTACCAGTTGACAGAAAAGCAACGCAACAGGTACCAGACTCGTATCAACTATTACCTGGCAGCAGCAAAGTGACAACAACAACCAAACAGCAATGTCACTGAATTCATTCATAAATTCATGGCAATCCACCAGGAAATCATCTCAAGTCAAATGGCATGCATGGTATTTTTCTTCAGTCTTCAGGTTTTCACTTCCTGATCTGACTTCAGTTTATCACATCCTAATGATAGCAAAACCCTTCAACCTAGTAGAAAGTTAATATTTCTACAAATCTATTACTATACAATTATATTACTATATGATTATCTTATTCTATTAAAAAAAATCTTAGCAGTGTGTAAATAAAATCCTTAAAACCAAAACTTTACTACTAAATCCAACCTTATATTTGTATTTACATTTGATTTTTTCTCACTCTGAAAGTTTAAGATTTCCACTGCAAGAAATATTCACAGTAAAGACTACCATTAGCTCCATTTTATGTGCAATAATTTCAGATAGAAAAGAATTTGAATGCAAAAGATAAGCAACTACACTGGACAAAGTTTGCAAAGGCAATTTAAGTCAGCTCATCCAATGCATTCAGAGCACTTTTGGCAGCTTGTAGAAGTGAGATGAATATACTGTATCAGTTCTCACACATTTCAGTTTATACATTTACAATATAAAGCATCACAGAATGAGAACTGAGTAAATAATAAGCATTCAGAGCTATAAAAAAATGCTGTATGACACAAGTAGACACAAAGGAAACAGATTCTTAATTGAAAACCACAGGAGATCTTATGATATCATGCCTGCAAATGGGGAAAACAATGCCAACTTGGCCTTCAACAGGCATCAGTTTGGAGGATGATGGTGCTCAAACTTAAGAATTCCATAGCATTTCAAGTGCAATTTCCTGATCTGCTTACATTGATCCAAAAGGGGAAAGGAGCCAAGTGGGGGAATCCTTCCTTTTCCTACTACCTATAATCTTATAGCTCCACTGAGAAACAGACCAGCCAATTCAGCTGAAAAATAACTTAAAAGATTAAAAAAATTAATTTTCAGCCAGATCACCAGGCAAGTCTGAACTGGCCTTAAGTGAGCACTTCATCACCCTCCTCTCTATAGCAGAAGCTCTCAAACTGCAGCCTGTTCCTCTTATCCAGCCAGCAATGCTGTCAAGACTTGTGGCTCATTATTCACCATTCACCTCCCCTGATCAAACACGTTTTCTTTTACAGTGCCAGCCATTTCTACAGCTGGAAGAAGACAAAGCTGACCTACACAGTTGTGAACAGCACCAATAGTGCATTTGCCATGGAGAAATACAATAGTCCAAATAAAACTAACGATAATGGATACCTGGGGACTGTTCTGAATTACATTCCTTCCTTCCCACAAGAAAAATACTCCAAAGACTCTAGGTAGATTTCAGATGATACTGGTTTCATTCAGTCTCACATCATGCTTTTGCTCCTACAGACACTCGCAACCTTTACTTAATAGTCATCCAGAGACTGATCAGGTTGTGGAAATGCCTCCAGGTTCAAGAAAGTACCTAAAACAAGCAGCAGCTGGTTCCACCAGAGAAGTTCTGCATCTTCAGGGCATCCATTGCAGAAAATACTTCTTTAGACAGAAAACAGTAAGCAACATGAATGGTACTGGATCACATTGAGGAAAGAGT